TAGGCACTGCTGATAACACACTCTGAAAGGCTTTCACTTCCACATTTGGTGGGGAAAAACACAAACATCCTGTACTTTAATATGAGCTACAAAAGAAAGTTCAGCACTTTCACACATTTCATGCATGTTAACTTACATTGCCTTAACACTAGAAAGAGTTTACTCGGTTGTGTTGGAGTGCAAATCTAATGGTGATAGATAGGCTGCTGTATTATCTTTTGGAAATGGCAGTGAAAGCCTTTGGAGTGCGCTACCGAACAGCATTGCAGGCAGTATGAAAGTGGAAATCATATAGAAGTCCTTCCCTCTAATTTTATATTTCTATACTTTAGAGTGGGTGGATGGAGGAAGTGTAACCCAATGCAATCTTAAACACCACTAAATATAGCTCTGTCTGTTAATACTGGTTAGGTAAAATACCTACTAGATATACTGAAATATTTCATTTTCTTCTTGGTGTGCAGAAGGAATGGTTAGATTATGGCTTAAGCACTACCCAAAGCTCCACATCATTCTAACATCCCAACTGCTCTGGGGCAACAACCCACCAGTTAGATCAGCTGGTAACTTGCAATAATGAGGTTTACTATGCCAGGCAGACAGTTAACTTTATGGAGAAAAAAAAATACCATGTGTTGAAATTATTCTTGTCTGATTTCTGGCTAACGATTTTTCATGTTCAAAATCCAATTAGTATCATAGAGACTGGAATAGATATAGCTACAGTCTATGACCTGTAGTAGGAACTATCGAGCAATTTGGAGGGACTAGGGAGAAAGGAAAATAAATTATTTAGTTTAGAGTTGCATCCAGTATTTTAGAATTCCTTCTGTAAGGAAGACCAGTTCTCAAGAAATAATGCTGTAATTCATCGCAATGTGAATTTTATAAAGGAAAAAAATCCCTCAGCTTACACATGAAATAGGTTCATCCACGAACTTAGTTAAATGAGATATTCTTCCCAGATGGGAATTATCCTTTGTCCTAACAGCTGCTGAAAACAGACTAGGCTTTTATTCTCCATTTTAGCATATGACCATCTTCAAGAAACACTTGACCAAATAGCATTTTCCCATTTCATAAATTATTTTGAAGTGTTTTTCAGCTCAAACATTTACAACAATTTTGACATCAAGTAGGAGTTGTCTGAAGTAATACTTCATAGGAGGAGTTTTCTGAGAAAAGCAGACATATCAGCTCAGAAGCTGAAAGGACGTTTCATCACACCTTGTATCTCACATGGCATTCTCTAGGTTGAGACTAGAAACTAAAGAATTAGAGCTTTTCTGGAACTTGTCACAGATCTGTGATGACACTTCCCTTTCAGCATGAGATAATAACTGCAATTACACCTGCAATTGCCAATTTTACTTCTAAGAAACAGTGGCCTTGAGATCTCTGATGGAGAATGTTTACAACATGCTTGAATGTCCTTTACTTCACAGCTTTCCTCTAACAGGCCTCCTCCTGCAGTTCGAAAAATCTAAGAGTCCTGGTGGACACGACCTGCAACACATTATTCCTGCTTAGAATCAAAAACCACTATTTTTTAATCTCATTCAACTGCCAGTATAGATTAAACTGGGGATGTGCTTAAGGCAGTGTTTCACTATATAGCACGTGTGTGCTCCAAGTTTGAAGGCAGCTCAATTACTCTGAATGGGGCCTGAGGGATTCTTAAATGAACTACAGCTTTCACTTTTGAGAAGCTGCTTCTCACACTTTACCCCTGGAATTCAGTAATGTATCAACATGCTTCTAACCTTGCCTGTGACATATCCTAAGGCAGCTGCTTTAAAAGCTGGATTCTTTTAAATCTACGTGTATTTTGGTGATTTGATTGACACTGTGTTTTCTTCCTGATGTAAGAATCTTGAGAAAGCAAGCTTCTGCACATACAACCAGAACAGCTGGTTTTGCTATGCAGAGTGAAGGGGGTTTTTGTACTTCCAAAGAATCACCTGCTAGAAATGAAGGTGCAGTATTAATGGCTTGCAGTATTAACTTCCCTCTCCCTGCCTTCCCACCTCATCTTTCCACATCACAAAGGAATTTAATATTTTCTCAACAGAAAGCGTGTTGCTCTAAACTGGTGATAAGATACCCCAAAACTTTTTGAAAACTAGTGAACACACACATGCATAGATGTACCTAATGATTTTGTTTAGCTAAATCAGACAATTATTTTTAACAGAGTTTATTTTATCCTTCCCTGTTTTCAGATAAAGATGTAACAACAGTTTAGACAACAGAGGATTACTAAGGTTATAGTTTAGACTCTTTACCTAAAACCTTACTTTTACATGGCTCAGTAGTGGGTAGCAGGTGTAAGAATACTGTGCAAACAAGGACAGGCACTTACTCCTTCACTTGGACAGGAGGATGTGGTACAGTGAATACTTATGTAGAAGTCACAGAAGTGAATACACTATTGAAATAGCTTCTGGTGAATTAGAATTTTAGTTACCTCTAGGACTCTTCAAAACTGTATCTTCAGTAGAACAAGAAGATGAAAACAGAGATTCTGAAGTTTTGAAAAAATGTTCTAATAACAAACTTTACTTTCTATTGCCACTTCCAACACTTATTTCTTTACAGAATGACTTGTATGGATATCTGATTTGCTCAAGCTCTTCTTTTCCTTAAGTGTGCAACATCCCTATATGATTGTGCATCCTGAAGCAACTCTCCGATAGACTTAGGATAAAAATACGAAGTTAAGAAAATATACTGAGCTAGATAGTTCCCCAAAAAAAACCACTTAAGACTTGCCAGGAAAAGTAGAAATGCCCTTCTAGAGAGAAAATACTACTCCTCCCTGTTTCTAAGGTGGAGGCAGCACGGATAAAGCAGCCAAAAAAATTCTTCACCGCAAGAAAAGAAAAGGCAAAAACGTTTTTACTGTACTATAAGCAGTAGTAACTGTGCTTTCTGCACTGTGAATAGGAGAACAATTATAATTCCTGATGCAGAAAAAAACCAGTGCTACAACTGCTGATTTTACACAGCATTTTGTTAGAAATTCAGCTAATCCACAGATTAACACACAAGCTACAATAAAGGCAGAATCAAAATTCTTGGATCTCTACCAAGGTTAGAATAAGTAACCATGTCGTTCTTTATATCTGACAAAAAACGCCATGATCTTCAGTAGTAAAAGTAAAATCTTGACTGAGAAAGCAGGAGCAAATACAATTGTAGGAGATCTTTTGGCCCACAGTTTCACTTTGGTCTTAGTCACATCCCTGCATGAGACCTGCACAACTCCACCTTTGTAAGTTTTGTTTTCTTGCCTACTCATTTCCTAATATAAGTATCTCTGAAGTCAGATGAGCATTCACTCTTAATTCCACAAAGCTTAGCACAGACTAGGTAATCGTCCATAAAAGTATTAACTTTATTTCCTATGCTTTCCAAGATGAAGATTAAGAACCTGATTGAAGGTATTAAGATTTTACACTGCCCCTTCGGCAGCTGAATGCTCCTTGTAAGGGAGAATGTATAAACAAAAGGTTGCAAGCACCACTTGCAAAGGATATATTACACTTATTCCTCAGGAAAAACATGCACTCTTTTCACAGTCTCCCACAAGTTTCTGGCAAAAAGAGAAGTAATTCCATCCCTTGGGTGAAGAGGGTTAGCCACTTCATGCTAATTTTGATCACGTAGAATGATTAATCCAGAGCTATCAGATATAAGACTAGCAAGTGCCAGTCTGCCTTCCAAAGAAAAGGATATGAAGGAAAGAAGTACTCTTTGGCCACTTTTGCCAATGTATTATGGGATTTAGTTTATTTTCTGTGAGAAAATGCATTGTTTCTACCTGGTTACTAGTGAGTAAGATAAATATTTCTAAAGTCTAGTATTTCTGCTACTTATTTCCATTCCTCAAAGAACAGGTATCACCAACCGGACTTCCACACACCCTCTGAAAATACTGTCTATATCCAGTGATGGAGAAGATAATTGAGAAACGTTAACTTCAGAAGAATTAAATCTTATTTACATGAGGAGACTGTCATTCAACTGCCTTGATGGGAACCTTGCATATTTATCAGTTGAAGCCTGGTTTCACTATGTGTTTTTCCATCACTTCTGAAAATGAGAAGGAATGAGGAATTGTCCTTGAAAGTGAAGCAAAAAATTTCCCTACCATAGTTCTTCTAAAAAAACTCCATAACCAGGGAAAAACATTAATTATCAGGATCTCCTTTATCTAGTCAAGAAAACATTTTCTCTGGGGAGAAGGTGGTCAATCTGTCGTTTATACCATCAGGAGACAAGTCCTGGGACTTCTTCCTGATGGCTGACACTAGATGTGGCCTCTTTTGGAGGCCTAATTGTAAAGATTGACACAAGGGAGTGAGACTTTCATTTGCTTCTCTGTGCTGTTGCTTAACATAAAGGGATTACAAAATCTGGTATAATCAGGAAGGGCAGATCCCAATGTAACGTGTTAGATATCCTCCATTACTGTTCATTTCAATAAAAAGCAATTTTAGATTTGGCTAAGCACAACTGCCTGCAACAAGAGTTATCAGAAAATATGAAAAGGAGTAAAGAAAGTATTTTACAACATAGGTGTCCACATCTGGTGGTAAAATTAAGAAACTCGTGAAGATATTTGATTCTTAAAGTTCATAGCTTACTCCTTTCTTACTCAAGAATTTCAGTATCTTACCGACTGTCAAACGCATGAAGCAAATTATTTAAAAGAAGGTTATCTTGAGCATAGCCTCATTTTGTCATTCTGTAGCATGACTGTTCCCCCCCCCCTTTATAATCAGTATAATTTTCATTTGAATTTGAGAGATGACCAGGCCAATGAAATATTCTAATTATCCACAGAGCCTATAATAAAGTTCTGCTTATATGTAATTATATACCTGTGACTGTGCGTACATACAAATATGCACTTTGTACACAAAAAACAGTGTACTACCTGATGTGTGTTTCTTCTAACCTGCAAGACAAAGATTATTCATAGCTGAAAATGTTACCTGGATCTGGGCTCTGTTTCCAGCTGTTATATTAGATATTGTCCAGCATGCTTCCTTTTTGATAGATTCTTTTGGGCTGCTTAGCAAGTGCAGTAAACTATGCAGGGCTGAACAGTTCAGAATTACCTGAATAGAAAATAAATAAACAAAACGCATCTTAAGAGGAAATTTAGGATAAAGAAACACAAGAACAAGGAATACAATGTCTTCAAAACTATATGAAGCATATCCATCCAGATGATCTCAAAAAATTAAGGGGGAAAAAAAGACAAAAAAACCAAACCCAAAAAAAAAACTCCGAACAAAAACAAGAGCAAGAACTGAGAAATAATCATTTGTATTTTATAAACAGAAAAGCTAATAAGCAAAACAACTGCGCAATTCAGATAAGGGCTCATGCCTTCATTATTATTTCAGTGTGACTTGAAAACCAGAAGATACCAAGTCCATTATAATGAAACAAAATTAAGACAACCTTATTTTCCTATAGTCTCATTTTTTATATTTTTGTATATCTTGAAGCTCCAACTACTTCTGCTTTCTGCATCAGCTGGCACAGTGGGAAAGACTGTTGCCAGTGTTGTGTCCAATGATGTTATGAGTGGGCAACTGTTATTAAAAAAATTGCTAAAAATTGCAACTGTACAGAGCAGAAAAGTTGCAGGAAAAACTGCATTTCCAAAATAAAGATTTTTAAGTGCCCAAAGTGAAAAAGAAAATGCCCGAGAACAGGTATGTTACAAGACAGAATACTTGAATATATAATGTTTAACAGCAAAGGGCTTTTTGACTGTCTGAAAGGACATAACAAGATTCAATGACTGAAAAATCTGGTAATTTTTTTTTTTTTTTTAATTTAAGTGCAACTCCTTGCAAGTAAATAAAAAATTAGAAAAGCTGCTAAGGAGCATGGTAGTTTTGCTTTGTATGGCAAAAGCAGGCAGCTTAGAAAGATAGCGTGGTACAGATTTTTATGAGGAATTTTTTAGTCTGTTTGCAGAGATCAAAGGGATGTAAGAGTCAAGCTGAATCATGGCAATGACTTCTGATCTTGGAATCTGCTCATCTCTCTCGGTCTGATTCCACACACACTTCTAAAACCTCTCCATTCCAAATTAAGATTAAAAAAGCAAAGGTTATGGTTCAGGATTTTATCAGCTATCTCACAGGGATAAGAAAGATTTCTTTTTTCCTCACACATACTGTCTCTGGTTTTGGCCATCTTCAAACACTGGCAATTTTTAAATGCTGGAAATGAGATATAAAGCAAAAGCAGGTTTGTGCTCTGAGGTTGTACAGAAAAGTTTTCAGGCAACTGCCTCCTATGTTGCTGACATTCAGAAACTCACCGACTGCCAAAGCTGAGCTCTTTCTTCTCCCTCACAAAACTAATTAAGAATTTTCATGTGTTCTGGACCTCTCTTTAGCATACAGCAAAATCTGCAGGCAGGACTATCAAACTCAAACAGTTCTCTAGAATTTTAGGAACGTTTGTGGTAAGCTCCTGTTTAAAAAAACCCTGTGTGCAACAAAAATGTTTAAGTATTTTATTTAATTGAAATATAAGATTTAGGCAGTACTTAATGCCCTGCTTTACATGTGATTCAGTGATTCCTTGTGGCTTTATTTTTAATGAAACTACGAAATCACAAAATGCACCTCATTCTTACGACTGATCTGCAAAACAAAAGCCACTGAGAAAATAAAGTCTATGCAATTCAGCTAGAGAAAAATATTCAAAAAATCATGGTAACCTCCTCCAGCACAAGTGATAAGATACTCAGTGTCCTCCTGCTGCTAACTTAATCTTTGTCTCTCACTATCACAGAGGTACAGAATTCCAACAGATACATTTATACAAACCAAAAAGTAAGCATTGAAATAAGCCTCAAGGTTAGGAACCTGATTTCAATTTCGCCATAATTTGCATAGAAGTAGTAATTTAATCCTTTGAATGGGGAATCATAAGCTTTATGCATCTATACCTCACTAAAAGCATCTTTCTCCAAACTCTTAACGTCATCTCACACCTTTAACTGCTACCACTGCCTCCACTGCACACACCTCTCCATTCGCAGCTACTACCACTTTTTGGTCCCATTTCTGCCATCAGCTTCAGTAGAGCTTGGAAGTCTCTTTCAGCCTGTGACTTCAGTCCAACTTGGTTGTGAATTTGTCACACATGTATGATTCCTAGTTTGTAAACTAGAGATGGAGGCCAAGAGTCACTGAAGTTCCAAAAGCAGTAGCCTACTCTAGTTTCCTTCCTCATATTACCAACTGAGCCTTACAATAGTGTCAGAATGCACATAGAAGTGGGGGGAAAATTTAAACAAAAGGTACAACAGTAGAAACCCCTAACTGCAGCTTCTGCTCTACATGTAAAAACAGACTGCCACCAGCCAGCAGATTACAGGTAACACGAGTATGCAAGCACAGACTCTCTGCTCCCAGAGATTTTTAAAACTGCTAGGAGCTGCTGCCTCTTGCAAAACTTACCAAGCAGCAGGATGACAACCTAGTGCCCCTGAAGCATCAGGGCTCCTGGCTCCCAGTTTAATTCCAATACATTGGTGGAAGTCATTGCCTCCCACCGAAGCTTCCCCAAGCATAGGCCCCAACACAGTTACATAACATTCAAAATCTGACCAGACACTCTTTTTTGGTTTACTCATCACAGACTATCAACAGCGCCAAACGTGATAGACCCTACTGTGACAGATCATTCAGCATAAAATTCAGCCTAAGAGGCAGACTTGCTTTCAACAAGCACATTTCATTTCAACAATGAAAACCACCACATGTTTTAAAGCAACATGTGTCATCAATTCTTCCTTCACTTTGCAACTTCAAAAGGAACAAGAGAAGGTGTTTATGAGTAAGGTTACCACAACTAACAGAAAGATGAACTGCAGTACAATGCAAGAGAAAGTGAACCCATACCTGGGTCTGGATATCATCTCCCGTGACGATGTTCCCAACAGCTCGTAAGGCAGGAGATACAACTTTGTAGTCGTTGTGGCTAAAATGACCAAGGAAAGATCCAAGTGTTAACCACCCTGAAACATCTCCATCTTTATATCCTCAAGGAAGGAACATCCATCAGCCAGGAGAAAACTTCCCTGCTAAAGCTAACTTTATCTGAATCGAAGCACTCTTTGATTTTAAACTAACTAACTAACTATCTAACAGTAATTTGTTTTAAGGTTTCTACATGTTTAGGCCTTCAGATATCATTCAGCAGCATTAAACCAAAATATATTAAAAAGAATATAAGTACTTCAAAGTACAGGCATCCTTGGAAGGGAAAATGTAATCAGATTTAGCTATGAAACACATTTAATGTAGCATGCTCAAGTGCAGAGAATGAGACAGAGGAACTCAGAACCTGTGTATTTAACACAACCATGTTTCCATACAGCTGTCTGATCATCATCTGTCATCATATGCATCCCGCCCTGCATGGCACCCCATAACATCATTGTTAAATCAGGACTGGAACAGAAAGGGTGAAGTAAGGAATTTTTTTCTCAAAGGAAAACACTTAAGTAAAATATTATAATTGTTAATCCAGCATCAGATGTGCTTTAATATTAAAAGCCTTAATAGTTTTGGTTTTTTCATTTATATCACTGAAAACCGTTATTTCTTGTTCTTAGGTAACTGAATGCTCAATGTCCTTCCCTTAGGTCTGAAGAAATGGCTTTGCATGGCCAGTCTCCCTGACTCCAACTCCCACAGCTACACTTTACTTACCAAATTACGCACATACTCTTCTACAGTAAACATTTAGGAAATTATTTACATTTCAAGTCCCTGGTACTGTCAATTCTATTAAGTTTTACTATTTCTTACATTTCTATCTTTGATATCCTTCAACAATTTAATTGGTAGGTAATTATAACACGGACCTTAATGGCACAGAGAAAATTCCAGTACGTATTATTGGTTTTACAAAAATGCAGCTTTTTGGTGCAGGGAAGAAAATCTCTTTTAAAAAGAGCAAAACTACCACAAGAAAAGTTCTGCTGTTTCTGGAATATAGGAAATAGAGAAGATTGAACACAGGCAGGTAAAATTAAAATTCGGATCTTGCTTTTTCGAAATTATTCCATTTCAAGGCATATCTAATTAAACTTCCTATTGCTGGAACCTTGATTCTAGGGAAAAGAGTGGAAGGTATATTTGCTCAGAACAAATCTCTTACATCAGCAATTCCACAAGTCTTCTGCAGACTCCTGCATCAATCACAGCCTGGATTTTATCATTGGGGCCATCAGACAAATAGGACAAAGCCCAGCAGGCATCGGCTAATACATCTGTATCGTTGACAAAGAGCAGCCAGGAAAGCACACTAAGACAAGGTGAAACCTGTAAGATATTAAGATGACACACATACACTGTGTAATTAAAAGGCCCAGAAGATCTATTAGCATGTCGGTTAATTTTCTAGATGACATTACAGGACTAGGCACTGGCATCTGTAGGTTCAATACTCAGAAAATTTCAGACCTCGGTAGCACTTCTGTGCAGGGCTGTAGCTACACAAGCACAGAGGAGCATGTCAGCAGAAAAGCACTATGAGAATTCTTCAGCCTCTACAGTACAATGGCAACTAAAACTTACACTTGACCACTAAGATGTGCCATACTTTGCTCTACAGCAGCCAAGATATACAGTTTTGCTCTACCATGGGATGGTCATCTCCAGTAAAGGAACAGTAACAAAAAACTATGAGGCAACAAGATTAAAACAGTTGTTTTGAATGTCTGCCCAAAGAACTAAATACCCTCAAAAACTTCCTTTGTAAGAAGCCCATACATTGTTTCAGAACAATTCTAAAATATTTCTGCTATTTAGTTTAAATTTCACCACCCTTATTGTTTATTTGCCTACAATCATCTCACAAAACATTTCCTTTCAAACAACTCTTACCTTGGCAAAATCTGGAGGAGGATTTTTTCCTCTGCAGAGGTTGGATAGAGCCCATACAGCATTTCGGGTCATAGTGAGACGGTTCTGTTTTGAAAGCAATCTAAAACAAACCAACAAAACATTCCAACCTTTGCTTTTTAAAAATAAAAGCCAGGCAATCCTGCAGGGTCAACTGCATGAATCATTAAAATAAACTCAGGCCTACATTTTAACATAGAACAGGGCAAAATAGGCTAGATTTTTTTTCTATAAAAATATGGCCTGAGGAAAATTATGCTTGATGGCTGGATACAAAGATTCATGCTACAATTCCCTACCAGCTTAGAAGTGACTACTACTCTTTAGCCTAGGAGGAAAGCAGTAAGGCAAGACGTAGCTTTTCCACAACTGTAACAACTCCGTTTCTTCTTCTCATAGCCATCCCGCACTGTACCAATGTCTTTATGAGAGCACTGGAGAACTCCAGCGCTGCAGAGTTTGCAAAAGACAGAGACTGAGTAATCCCATGACAACACAAGATGGTGTCACTGTTTCAGCAATAATATGGTCCTTCAGCAGAGAACCACCAAGATAATTAGAGAAATGACACACAATGGTTAGAAACCTGGATTTGTTCAGCCTCAGAGGGAGACTGTGGAAGGGGAAATATAACTGCTGCCTACAACAGTTTAACAGGTGGATACGAGAAAGAGGAAGCCAGATCCTTCTCAAAAGTGCACAGTGACAGGACAAGAGGCAACTGTGGCAATATAAAACATAGGAAATTCTGATTAGGTATCAGAACACTGTTTTTTCACCACACTACGGTCAGATACTACAGCAGGTTGCCCCAGGTAGATTCCGTAACCACCTTTCCAAATTTGACTGGTTAAGTAGCTGAGAAATCTAATCTGATCTCACAGGCTATGAGGAAAGGGTTTGACTAGATGACCTCCAGAGGTGCCTTTCAACTTAAACTATTCTGTAACTCTGTAATAAGCTCAGGCATCCACCCACTCTGTAGAATAAAATAGTTCCAGCTTAGCTGCTCCTAAAACATGTTTCCATTTTAGCTCCATTACAAAAGTAGTTCAGGAACACTTTTAAAAAGTCTGATTAGTCCATAATAAAAAAAAAAAAATCATCATCACCATCATTATTATTCAAGGCAAAAAAGACCATCCACTCTCATCAGACACTCAAGCAAAATTCTGGAAACATTAAAACAGACTTACTGCAATAAGGGGGGCAGGATATTACAGTCCAATACATAATCTCTGCACATAGTGCTGTCACCAGCAATGTTGCCAAGAGCCCATACTGCCTGCAATAAAAAACAGAATAGTAATTGCTTTAATTCTCACAATTCGACCAGTGTAGCGTATGTGTTAGAGTTGGAGATGCTCTGTTCTCACTGTTAGATCCTGGACAGTGTACAAAAGGGGAATGCATTCTGGTTGAGTATTACATATATACGCTCAAGCTCATTATACGATTCAGGAATATTTACACAGGTCTAAGAGGAATACTAAAACATGGATGTCTCCAAAGACTTTGCAGGCAGACATAACCTTGCTTTGTTCACAATGTAAGAGATGAGCTTATCTTCTCAGGCTTAGTAACATACTAATTCTACACTCCTCCTGGTTCAGAGCTGGTTCAAGTCCAGACAGTTCACAGCAGAGGTCAAGCAAGTTTGTATCTACTCAAAAATGTTTGTGTGGAACAGCCCATATTAGTACTTCCTAAGAAGCCATAAAAGCATGCGTTGTTTACACAGTCATATTAAGAATGCTGGCACCAAGCAGATGAAAATGAGACTCCAAATGCATGGTAAACCAATATTGAGAATCAAAGAGTTCAGATGGACATTGGCATATATCCTTTAAGAGAAAACCACACAAGACAGAACCAGTGTTGCCTACTAGACATATGCCTGACAAAATGCAAGGACAGGTGTTTTCTCCCCTGAACATCACTACTACTGTAACCCTTCATTTTGAGATAAAATATCTAAAATACTAGAACATTATTAAAGCAGCATGGGATCAATCTTCTGTAATGTGATGAGAATGAAGTACTTAATTGGTTTTAATTTGTACATTTGGGTCAAGTAATATTTTTGATATCACTGTCCACTGGTATGAGTGATGTAACTGAAACAAATTAAAAGTAAATCTATATGATATATAACAGCAGCTTTATGAATTCCATGTGATTTACAGACAATATTTTGTCACACAAAGAAGTACATTAAACTCACATTTGCTATTTATTTCAAGTTAGCAGATGGCTAAGTGTCATATCAAATAGATATATTTATCTATTACTTACTTGTTAAGACCTATACAATGTTTACACAACCACTGGAAATACTTCTAATATTACAAATAGAGGACAAACCCAACTCTATTTATCACAGAGAGCAGCTGAACATCCTCCTCAAATTCATCTTCAGTTGAAGACTATGTATGCATTTGCAGGAAAACGAATTACAGTGCATAACTATTTCTCCAACCAAACACATGTAAGTTCCCCACACAAAATAAAATGTTTTTCTCTTTGCATCACTACTTGAATTAAATTACTCCTCTAAAAAAGCCTGACAGAATAAGCAAACTTTGTTACCTAAAAGAAATTCTTGGAAAATCTGAAATAAGTTTATTTATTCATTATCGATACAATATAAATGGATTTGTTGCATTAGATTTCTACTGTAACGTGTTTTTAAACAGTGGCAAAAAGATGCTACTTTAAAAACAGACTCCAACCACTCTGAGGGCCCAAAACCACTAGCATATCTCTGCAAAATTAATTCAGCTAAAACCAGACAAAACAGTGTATATACAAAATGTAGACACAGGTGTCAGCTTGCTAGATACACAATAAAAACACACCTCCTCTGTACCAGTAATACCATAGATAGACTGATCGATCAGAAGTCCCTAAACTGCAAGTTGTTAAGAGACCAGGAGACTATTTTGGGGAAGAATTCGTTTATTTCGTTCTCCTACTGCTTTCCAGGCTTGTGCTGTCAGCCACAGTCAGAGACAGGGCACCAGGCTATACTGACCTTTGCTGTGAAACAGCACAACCATGACTATGCAACATACGCTCGAAAACTAATCTTCATCACAAAAACTTGGTTTTCATTCTAATTCTTATTATTTTACAACTGTTGTGACAACAGTTTGTCTGAAATACAAATACAACCTTGGGTGTTGCAGCCTCATGGACTCGAGAAGGCAGTTACTGGAAAAATTTAGCTTAAGAGACGGAATGTATGCCACCTCCCACAAAGCGTAATTCGTATTAGAACTTGGACGAGGGGAAGGCTGTGGACGTTGTCTACCTGGACTTCAGTAAGGCCTTTGACACTGTCTCCCACAGCATCCTCCTGGAGAAGCTGGCTGGGCATGGCTTGGACGGGCATACACTTTGTTGGGTTAAAAACTGGCTGAGCACAGAGGGTTGTGGTGAATGGAGCTAAATCCAGTTGCTGACCAGTCACAAGCGGTGTTCCCCAGGGCTCAGTTTTGGGGCCAGTCCTGTTTAACATCTCTGTCAATGATCTGGATGAGGGGATTGAGTGCTCCCTCAGCAAGTTTGCAGATGACACTAAGTTGGGAGGCAGTGTTGATCTGCCTGAGAGTAAGAAGGCTCTGCAGAGGGACCTGGACAGGCTGAATCAATGGGCTGAGGCCAACTGTATGAGCTTTAACAAGGCCAAGTGCCGGGTCCTGCACTTTGGTCGCAATAACCCCATGCAGCACTACAGGCTTGGGGACAAGTGTCTGGAAAGCTGCCAGGCAGAAAAGGACTCTAGGTGATCCTGGCTCTGGCAGGGGGGTTGGACTGGATGATCTTTTGAGGTCCCTTCCAACTCCTAATATTCTGTAATTCTGTAACTGTCCAAAGGCACACTCATTGCTCACTGCAATGCTTGTATTTCTGGAGCGATGAGAAGCCCAAGGAATGAATCAAAGATTTCAGCTGGTTCCAAACAGATTTGTGGAACTTTTAAAAATGTTTGGGGGCAGGGGAAGTTAGAATTTGCAATAATTTCCTTTTACTGAACATGTGGGTAGCTTTGTATAATGACACAATCTCCTTGCCTGGACACCCTTACACACATTAAAACACCCCTAAAAATCTGTATTTCACTTGTCTGTGGGCTTTGTTTCTGACATTATAGTAATATCTATTTTTAGGATTGACAACAGTGATAATCACTTAATCCAGGAATCCATTCTGACCCTGAATGACAGACGGGTTTTGCAGCAGCAAATTTCACATCAAAAAGTCTGACTAGAGAACTCAAATACCATCTCTACTGCTTTCTCACTCTTGACTTTTTATGGCAAGAGAAGTCTGCTTGAGTAGTCCGGTATCATAGGATCTGGTAAGAGAGGATAGCAAGAAATCTTTGTCATACAAATGTACACAAGATGCAGAGGTATTTAAGTATCTTTAGAAAAATATGCAGTTTCATTCAACAAGGAAGATGTCTTTCCTTAAGGAATTATTTCAGCTCTTCAGATAACTGAGGAATATAAGTCAAGCTCATTTAAACTCTTCTCATCAGACACTGCTATGAATATAAAGCTTCTTCATGGCTCCCACAGAGGACGTGTGACCAATGACAAGTGTCTTCAGGGTCTGTCTGAATGATTGTCAGTGATTTCCATTGCTTCTTTTGTGCACTCCTCAAGATGCAAATGGTTTGCTTGCCGTAACACTCTGACTTCATTCTACACATCCCAAATATTATCATCTCCTTTTCTGGATAGCAACAGATAGAAAAGGTTATTTAATTCCTATATATTTCAGAGTTTATTAAATAAAAAAAAATACTTTAAAAAAATGTCTATTTCAGTACTTTCCAATATTCACATCCAGGTCTGAAGATGAAAAGAAACTGTAACTTTAAGATTTGTAGTCTGACTTTTTAACCAACATCTTAGGTAGCAAAGTTGTGTAAAACGAAAATGCAAAACCTGCCTTGTCAACTAACAGCATCTATTTTTATACACCTGTATATATTTCCATTTATTGCAAACAGTGGAGTAGGGATTGTTGCAGGTGTCCAGTTCATTTTACTCATTAAACTCCAGTGATTTTTCCTGCAGTGCTGGACGACTTCAGTAGCCAGTAAAAAGTACAAGTTTTGTAAAGTACTCTTGAGCCATATGGTGTCTTCTGTGAATAATCCACGTGCTTTCTGACAACCCTTCACTTACACCTGGATTCTGAAGGCTCCCAGCCACTACTTCATTAGGCCTTCAGATATTTAAACCAAGCGCTAAACCAACCACCACCAGTGCGTAGTCAGTGCCTCTTGGTGCAGAAGAATTATGAAGTGAGAATCAACACTTTCTCTACTTTTGGCTGCTGACTTGGGAAACAAACCTAATGTTGGGATGAAGATGGTGAAGATTAGCTCGCATACAAGTGTTATTTGTTAAGTGGACACAAGAAAGGATACCAGAAGGCCATGTTCTTAGGACATGACTTCTACTATGCTCCCAACACAGAAAACACCTTTCTTTCTGTGCCTGGAGTAATCACAGCTCCTTATTTCTCACATCGTGTCCACCCAAACTTAGGAAGTCGCTCATACTCACACCTCAACTGTCTTTCCTGAATTTGATTACTAAGACCTAGATAGCAGGGCTGCTGATGTAAAATCCACCAAACAGAACCTGGACACCAGACTCACAGGCCACCTCTGCCAACAAATGATGGCTACCAACAGGAACAGCAACACAACTAGAAGTGGAAAAATACTGAGGGGAAAAATATGTTGGTTGCTTTAGATGAAAACATAAATATTCCCAAAGGAGAACAGGGCAGCTGGAGATGTCCAGCAGACCATGACACATATCTGTCACTGTCTGTGAGACAAATCTCCAGCATCTCAGACAGAGTGTGCAATGACTCACATGGTTTTTGAAGGAAACTCAATGTTCATCAAGGAAAACCAAGCTGACATTTGGGTTTTAAATACCTCAGCAAGGGCACTCGGGAAAGAAATGCAGCTAAGAGACTGCTGAAGCTAGATCAACCTTAAGCATGTCTAAAGGGCTTTGATGGAGTCCTTCAATATAAATAATTTCAGGCTGCCACATTTAAATTTAATGGGAAACAGATTTTCTAAAAAGATATAATTTCATTGTACTACATATTTTTAATAAACAGTTATAAAAACTCCCTCACAGACTTCTATAAAACCACTGATTTTAAATTACACTAAACTCAGAAACCAGTACATGCAAAAGAAAATTTGCAACATATTAGATTAAAACTGGCTAATAAATATGAAAGATAACTGTTGGGAAAACTATGATCAGATAAGGGAAACTGGGAGCTGTTCCTGAGTCACTGATAAGAGAAGTTTGAAACAAAAGATAAATTCAATGGTGTAAGTCTGTAAGACTGACTTACTGTAAGACAAAGAACAGTGGATAATGATTAACCAGCAAATCAATTTTTTTTTTCACTTATGTTATGGTACATACTCAAAATTGTATTACCACTGGAATTTCCTTCTACAGAATTACTATTCCACTTAGCACAAAGAATGGCTTACTAAACACAGCCTTCAATATTTCTTTTTCTCTTCATCCTTTACTAGATGGTTGCAGGGCTAGCTTTTGGCCTATCTCCCCTGAGCATGTAGTTATATTTCCTTTACTTTTGTAATTTGTTGCAAATGTAGCAAGAGTTGCTCGCAAATAATAATCTTCACAGTACTACTGTGAGAAAAGATAAGAATCATCATTTTACTGGGGAGAAAATTACGGCCAAATATCTCCCAGTTTCAGACATTCAGCTCGAGAAATCTAGGACCAGATCTGCTCAAAGCACAGACCTAACTACAAAAGCCACTTGCAAAAATGCTGAGTTGTCCTCAACTACAAAACAAAATGCAAATATTTCACACTGAGCATTCAAAAACCACAGAAGTAGTATCTACTTACTGAAAACTGATATAAGCAAACTGTCCAGCATCAGACACTAAGCGGTAGATACATTTAGCTCAGAAACCTGCAATTGTCTTAATCATAAGAATATCTTCCCTTTTCTCTCTTCCATTCACTACAATGTGTTTCAACCTTAACAGGGCCACAGTGTGACAAATAAAAGCCTCCTTTACTACCCGCTGATTTGTTACCGGGACAACAATCTCTACATCTACTTAAT